CTGATTTTTAAATTTTATTTCAATTTAGTATAGGAAAAAAAATCAGAATTCTGACTTTTTTCCCAGAATTCTGACTTTTTTCCCAGAATTCTGACTTTATTCTCAGAATTAATCTCAGAATTCTGACTTTTTTCTCAGAATTCTGACTTTAATCTCAGAATTAATCTCAGAATTCTGACTTTTTTCTCAGAATTTTGTATCTTGTAGATGGGCACCATGAAGGAAGATATGTGGGTGCACTCAGCTTCACTGACAAAGATGTGAGCTTTTTGGGAGGGCCAGTGACACATTGGTGGAAAATGACGGAATTAGGCAACTTTTTACGTGCCTGAGGGGTCCCCTCATTAATGGAGGAGCAGAAGGTGATTAAAACAAGAGAGCTAGTCTCTAAAACAGACATGGCTATGGCTTGATGCTAACATGTTTGTTAAAATGTCAGAACTCAGATTTTTTTTTCCTATACTAAATTGAAATAAAATTTTAAAATCGGTAAACTTTTTTTTTTTTTTCAGTGGCCCTAATCCTCTTCCGTAATTAAGCCATCTAGATGTGATAAAGACTTGAGGTGGGACCTTGCAGTTGGTGCCACTTAGACTGAACTGAGTATTTTAGAGACAGTTGATCTATGATCGACAGCAGAAATATCCTGTGTGCAGTAGAAGTCACGCGGATTAAGGCGCCCCTTTGGTGTCAAAGGTCGGCGGAGAATGTGCTGACTGATAACCTAAACTATGCAGCAGCTCAAATGACCACTTGTTGCAGCCTTGGTATGGAGAACGAACAACACGCTCAACCTTGAAGCAGAGGTGACAATTTATACGGAGAACCCCAAACAGGTCATTAAAAGATTTAAAATATGTTGATGGATACAAAGAGTCTTTATATCAGTCAGAATAGGGAAAGATCGGGAAAGAAGGGCTCCATTCTGCCTTGCATTAACAGTTTAAGCTAGTGGTGGTAGTATAATGGTTTGGGGGTCCCATTGGTTGCTTGAACGTAACACTGATTACTGTAAGTCATCTACAGTCGCCAGAGGTTATTCTGTAGGGCACATATGGGATGTGGCAGACTTCCAACATGGATGTAGGGCCAACAGCAGGTCGAAGCGTTGCGTCAAAATAGACCAAAATCTCTGTTTTCAAACATGTTTCAGCTTGATCTTGGATGGAGAAGTGTTTAATCTGTGGAGGGCATCACTCAGGCTCTTTTTATTTATTTATTTTTTGGCTGTTCGGTTGTTTGTCAGATATGAGCACCAGCTTGATGTGGCTGTAATCAGGCCCACATGATGCAAACGGATCCCAGAGAGCATCTGCTGGCACGGCGGGCGGCGATATGTGATAAACGCCGATTTCACCCTCCATTGGATCGAGCTGGCGATGATAGCCACCCCTCTCTCCCCTCATCTCATCCGTCCTATTAAACCCTCATTATTCATTTACCTCCAGCCGCCTGACATGCATGGAATGAGCACGCCGCCGCCACACCAATACGCTCCAGCAGAAGTGAATTGCTCTCATATTTCTCCTATTTCTTCTAAGGCGGTCAAGGACACAAACCTCTATCTCATTGAAGCAGTACTGTGAACGTTTTTCCCCCCACTTGGATGAAAATTCAGACTTTTTTTTTAGTAATAAATACACATGTGCCCACGTGCTCAGACCCACACAGTTTCCCCGTATAGTGCCGCAGTGCACTGGCAAGGAGCTTAATTCTATCAGGCTGTGAGCTGGACAGCCGTAATTACATTTGTGACACAAATCCTGTCTCTCAAATTGAGCGTTTTATTCCTGAGCGCTCCCGCCTCTCTATTTATAACCCTTATTCCCCATAAATCCTACTTCCTCTTAGAAAGTCAATTTGGGACTTAAAAGGCAGCAACGCTTCGCTTAGTTTGCAGCCTCCTTTGACTCCGATTGCTGCTTCAGTTTCACTTTTTTTTTTTTTTTTTTTACTCTGGAGATTTAGAAGCATCTAAAACGACAATAAAGGCTTTAGAACCAAGTGCCATGATCCAAAGGAGTCGTTCCTATGGAAAACTCTAAGAGGCTAAAGAAGCTTCTGTAGCACTGAGATGAATTCTTTTTTTTTTTTTGCTTCTCTTTGTTGGAGGGGGTTCCTTCTTACTGAGATGTCCTTCAATTTCAACCAGAGCATGAATGTCAGAAAGCCTCTTTGACAGCAGCATCCTCTTCTTGACATTTACTTTTTCTCTGTTATCTCGTTTCTTTATATCCCGGCGCCTCGTCTACCGGGTGAATCGGCTGCGGCCTTCAGGAAAGCCACACCTCGTGTTACTGCTCTTTTTCCCCTTTCCCTCCCACCTTTTTAAGCTGATGCATCTCAGTAAAGTTTGATCAAAATGTTCATTTATTTTTAAGAACAACATGGAGACATTTTGGGGGGAAAAAAAGAAATATGAGTATGAAACAAAAGATCGACTTAATGTGCTAAATAAGCTGGTTGTTAAGGAACGTGTGTCCCAGGATGTTAAAAGAAAGTTGAGCAGAAGGAGAAGGTGCAGCTAAGTGTGGTGTACCAGCAACAGGGATCACTATAGACTTGGGAGGATGTGAAAGCACATACGTTTGCTTTTAGAAGAATCCATCTATCTTCCATCATGCTTATCCCTGACGGGGTTCACGAGGGGCGCTCCATCTGTCTATGGGCGAGAGGCAGGCTACACCCTGGACAGGTTGCTAGTCCCTCGCAGGTCAACACAAAGACACGCAGGACAAGCAACCACTGATCAGCCCGCTATTTGAACCATATTAAAAAAAAAACATTAATAAAACTTTATTTATAGAGCGCCAATTCACAACACATGTCATCTCAAGGCACTTCACAGTTCACCAGATCATACAGTCAAACTGATTCAAAGTTTTCTATCTAAGGACAACCTGTTGATTGCATCGACTCATTGACTCATTCTCACCTATTTAATGGTTAAGATTGTTTATTTTCATGGCTTCATAAAGTAGGATTTCAAACTTTTTGTCCATAATTCAGTCAAACTTTAAAGCTGCTTCCAGGAAAGTCAGTCTAGAATATGCAATGCACCACTACTAACTATAGGAAACCACAGCCCTATGCTGCCACCGCCATGCTTTACTGTTAATATTGTTCCTAAATTTGAAAGCCCCCGCCTTTACTCCGTTTAACCCTTTTTACAACTTTAATACCCCATTTATACTACCCTTGAAAAACTGTGCCGAGACCGGTCCGAGCTCAGTAACTGATAAAACTTATCGTGTGTAAATTGAAAGCAAATTGAACTGAACCGAGATAACTGCAGACCAGTTCCAGAGGTGGGTTCAGCTCGGTTTTTCCCAGGCGCGGTTCTCTGATGACCAGAGCGCATGAGCAGAACGCATCATCTCCATCTGGCTGCACATCGCGATTCACACTCCATTCCAGTAGTTGGCGGTAATGCCCCTTCAGAAGTTGCTTGCCAACCAACACAAAACAGAAGAAGAAGAAGAACTATAAAACAATCGAAATCTTCTCCATGCAACATTTTAAATAATGGCATTTTAAATAATAAGACCAAAGTAAAGCAATAATAATCAAGCATAACTTTCTAATTGTGACGGGCGCGGCCATTTTGATTTGCTTGATTCCCTCCTTCTTCGTATTCTTCTTCTTGTGTTTTATGGCGGTTGGCAAACAACTTTTGGTGCATTACCGCCACCAACTGCTTGATTTTCTCCTTCAATACTGGCATTAATACCGCAGATCGTCACTAGGAGGCGAGGAGTCGAGGAACCGAGATAGCGTGATGTGTAAAAGGTCGTCAGAACCAAGCTCGGCCTGGTTAACTGATCCAAGCTCGGACCGGTCTCAGCATGGATCGGTTTATCAAGGGTAGTGTAAATGGGGTATATGTCAACCTTAAAGGTGTTATAAAGCAGAGAGGTCTATTTTTGGAAGGCCTCTTCTTACTGTGATTAAAAAAATGATCAAATATTATTGATAAATTTCAGAAGCCAGTTAACGCAGAGGTTAAAAGATATACAAAAAGATACTTCTGTTTTTTTATACAAAAGCATTCATTTAAAGATAATTCACAAGTAAAGGACAATAGCTTTATTATTTATACCTCATTAAAATTCAGCTTTAGACCTGAACGTTTAGTGAAAGAGGAGATATTTAATAGTAACAAATGCATTTGTGTTTTGGGCTTGATTTCAAATATTGCAATAAAAGCATTTGGTCTTGATTACATTTGAGTCTGAAATATAGCCTTTAAACCATGAGTATAACCTCGACGTGTCAGAAAGATTAATTACACTGGGTGTACTAAATTATTAAAGTATGCTTTTCCACTCCCCTGAAACACATTCTTTCCAGTTCTTATGGAAAGTAAACTTTCTCTAAATTGAATTGTAGGGAGCATTCATTTTTCGAGGGTTTAATGCACTTGCCCTTTAATTAAATAAGGAAATATAACTCTGGGAGATGTGTACAAATGTAATGTTTTGTAAGCAGTTGGCTAGATTTAGCTAAAAGCTTGTGATCTCAATAAGATTATTCCATCTCATTTTAGCAGAGGCTGCATTACTAATTCAGAGCCAAACTTCCTCCCCCATCCATCAGCCTGCCTTTTTTGTGTCTCTTTATTCCAGTCATCTTCTGGTTTAGTTGTGGGAATTGGGTAAAAAAAAAAGAAAAAATCAAAGGACATTGGCGTTAGCCTTGGGGAATTTAGAGCGCCATTAAATGCTTTAATACTACCTACTTATATCGGAATATTTACAACATCTTTATTTAAGTGTGTGAGGTTTATGGGCGATCATCAGATTTGCATGAACCCACTAAAATTAGCATTTAAAGCAGCGAAATCTGAATATTAGCTTCCCTTTTAAACTCTCCTGGCAGGAGTTGCTGTTCACATGCAGCAAATGGAAATCTGCTGGTTTTAAGCATTTAACAAAGATTTTTTTTAATGTTGTTTTTCATGCTCGGGAAAATAAACCTTTTAATGTCTTTTTCTCCTGAAGAGTCCTCTAACGGGGGAGCGCTGGGTCCCACCCTTGGCCTCATGAAGTCCAGTTCCTTGGAGAGCCTCCAGACGGCCGTGTCCGAAGCCCAGCAGAGTCGGAGGCAAGCTCAGGTGCCGTTCCACCGGCCACGGCCACACATGGTCCGAGGTCGAGCGTGCAACCAGAGTTTCCGAATCGCCATCGACAAATCCTACGATGGGCCGTCTGAAGATGGTAAAAAAAAAAAAAAAACTTTTCTGGGTGCTGTGATTAAAGCTTCTTTGTATCCACTTTAAATTACCTACCATGCTCCTGATGCTTCTCCCTGCGGCTTTTTAACGCACTGGCACCAGAAAGGAGCCAGAGGCCTGCCAACAGAGGACACAGTGCTTAGCCTAAGTACCTTAATGAAATGCTACATGATTTTATCCACTCAGCGATTTAGAAAAGAGTCACTTTATATCTTAGAGCAGCATTTTTTTTATGCTTTGCCCATTGACCAGACAGACACCTGATCTTGGTCTAATTTCTTTCTGATAATAAAAGAGAAAAAGTGTAAGTATGCAGCGCAGATTTATCACACTTTAGCAAATACAATGTCTTTAAAGCCTTTAAAATCTTTTTCTATGTCTGTGAGATTGATGAACAAGATCACTGCTCTAAGTAGTTGTCAAATATGTTTCATTTTTACAACCTTCTTTTTAATGAATAGGGTAGCATTTCTTCAGTTGTTCTAGGACATTGCACAAAATCCAGAGAGATGTTGGACAATCTCTCTGGATCTTCCAGATTCAACCCTCAGGTTTTGTTGGACTTGGGTCTCTGTGATGGTAGAAGGGTGATTTTGAGTCTGCCTTTACTTTTATTGCCCCCAAACAAATCAAACTGTATAAAGTTGTGGGGTATTGTAGAGAGATTAAAAGCAGAAGTTTGACTTTCTTTATCATTTGCTTGTGCACCCTCCTTCCTAATGCCAAACTGGGCAACTGCTCTTAACAAAAATCCTCACTGATACTGACACTTTTTTGGGTCTTTGAATCATTAACCTTCTAAAAGACCCAAAGATTACCTACAACCAGGAGACAAGGATTTAATCTAAAGTGTTCCAGTTTTTAAAGTTTAAGAAGCCATGCCTCTCATCCTTTGGATGAGACAGGACCATAATTAGGGCTGTGCAATATGGCTGAAAAATGCACCGCAATATAAGCCTTTCATATTCGTCGATATCGATAAGTATTTATTAGTTTTTCTTTTTATTATTTGAAATAAGGCTCTGTTCAGCAAAACCAATAATCTCAGCCACTGAGAGGTTGAGAGGCTAAATCCTTCCCTCCTACCTGCATCCCCTAGAGTGTGGCTCGGTTCTGAATCTCAGCTAAATGAAATCATGAAGTAGAATTGTTTACAGTTTGATGTATTTTATATTATTATCCATCAGATTAGTAAGTCCATATACTCTATTTCTGTAGCACATTTCAAAACCGCAGCGTAGGCAAAGTGCTGTACATTAAAACAAGAACAAGTTAAGAATACATCTGATTAAAAATAGACATAATAACCAGATTAACAACACGGATAATGCAATACAAAACTAGATAATACTAGAGTAAAAGCCAAGAAATAAGAAATAATTAAATACAGGAAAAGGGGAGGCCTGTCAGACACAAATGGTAAATTATTTTCTGACAGGCCTCATCTTTTCAGAGAAGTTGTCTATTGTTTAGGTTTAATTTCAATTTAATCTGTCGATTACTTTTACAATTAATTGATTAATAATTGGATAGCAAAAGGTTCCTTAAAAAAGTATTTTTGCTAAATTAAACCAGGTGAAACTAAGACTTTTCCACTTGGATAGTACTCAACTTTTTTACTTTCCTTTTACTTTTCAGTCATGGTCAGGTCGTGGTGGATGATTGGATTTCATGAATACAGTAGAAACAAATCTGACAATTCTTTTTATGAAAATCTTTAATTTGAACTTATTTTGGGGGTTCATGCATCTTATACCTGTTACAGGCATAACACCGGCGCTGTTCAGAAAACACCCGGTGACAGAACACCAGTGCTAGGATGCCGGTGGCACAGGTCTAATTGCTTATCAATCAGAAGTAGAAGCAAATCATCAAACCAACAACGTACCGTTACATAAAAGTTACCACAGGATTATTTGCAGATAGGCTGCCATGCCTTATACTTATAATTCTTCCCCCGCTGTTCTGGTATTGAAGGATGTAATCAGTTTTAACACACAACAATCTCGTTACGGCTTTCATTATCTGTAGATATTTATAAAATTAACTAGTTTTCTCAAGAAAACCACTGTGAAAAAGTATCGGAGGGACACCACCACTCTGGGCTTATATATTGACAGAAGAAAAAGATTTTTATCTTAAATACAAAATGTTTACCTTTTTTTTTTTTTTTTTACACAATATTTGCATAATTACTACTCTAATTGGGTTTCTTAGTCAGCTAAAGGCAGATTATTGGCTGTACTCTATTTAACGATTAATCAATTACTAAATTTGTTTATGATCATTTTAATAATCAATTAATCACGGTTAATCCGATTGATTGTTTCAGCCCTAGTTATGGGTATCAATCATTGTGCCATCAGTAATTTTGAGTTGGTTGCAATGAGCAATTTAATCTCCTGATTCATGAAAATTAGGATCCAGTTTACTTGAATATATTCTAATTTCTTTCCCGTTAAAGAGTGGCTCAGTTGGAGCTGATATACTTCACCTTGTGATCAAGTTATCTTGCTTTAAACCTGTTGAAAAATTACCCTAATTCATAGGTCACTTTGATCTAATAGATTTATCTCCTAATAACTGATATTATTCAGATTATCCCTCACGAATTTTACACATCTGTTAAATTTATAGCTATGCAGTAGTACCAGCTTTCCTCCCTGTCTGACTCGTTTGCTCCCTTCAGATGACGACGTGTCAGACGGCAGCTCTGGCCACGAAACCCCCGCCAGCACCTCCTCTCGTCAGGACCTGGACGCAGACGACGGGAAGAAGAAAAAGAAAACCAAAGCGAAGAAAGGGAAAAAGCTCAAGGGGAAGAAGAAGACTGAGGACTCTGTGAATGAGCCAGAGAAGAAGTCTAAGAAGAAAGGATTTACCCTTTTGAGGTAGGAAATCCTTAAAATGTCAAATAAATGAGTTAAACTAAAGCAAAACAGACAAAAAAAATCACGTTTGAATAGAAACTGCTGGAAAAAGAAAAAGCTTGCTGCCCTACTTTCCCCTTGGTTAACTTTCAACAAACTACCCCACTGAGCACAGCAGGATTATGGGATATTGGGTGATTGGATATGAACACAACCTTCTCTGTAATGGAGAGTATCCATTATTAAGTCGCAGGGAAACGGTGCCAACCCCAAAATGCTCGTCACCCCTTTATCAAGCTGTCCCCAACCTGATTTGTGGTGATCCAATCCTCCAGCAGCAGCCCTTATCTACTGGCATTGACACACTGCGGTCAGTGTATCACCACACTTCCAACACTTGGGATTCAATTAGGCTGTGACGAGAGATAGCGCGGCCTGAGCGTCGGACTACAGATGGCTGATAAGAAACCAATCGGCCACAGTGTCAGGAGCCGTAATGGAGGAGATGTTCGGCCGGCGAGGATGATGGCGGAGCGTAGGGAGGGAACAGGAAGGGCAGCATGAAGGACTCCCAGATGGGAGCCTTGTTCTCCAAGTCTGAGTTTACCTGATACTTTATCTGTTTTTGGCATCTGAAATAGTTCAATTTATACTAAACATCAACCTTCTGTTGTTTCTTTACAGCAGAAACAGACAAATATGTAGAAGGCGAGGCTTGTGGCGGGAACAGATGGTGTTTTTATGAAGTTTGGTTAGAAATCCCTGACTGCAAAAGATGCAGCATGAATTTTATCAATGAAAACCCTTCATTTTTGCTCAGTTTATCACAACAACCTGAAAGGTTGGAGCCCTGGCTCTCAGTCCAGGCTGCATCTCTAACTCAACAATAACAGAGTGGCGAGAAAAGCTCACTCTCCCCTGCCTCTGCCTGGCCTTTATCTCACCAGCTTGATTGTTATTGAACTAGAAATATGACTTAATTAGCCAGAGCATTACTGTGTGCAATCTGATTGCTGCTCTCAAATGTTTTTTACTCCAATAGCAGCATTAGGAAAAGGGCAAATTATGCACACATGACCTCAATTTACCTCAGCAATGAGAGTGTGTAGCACCAGCTACCACCGCTGGCTCTGTCCTCTCTCTGGCTCTAAATATTTAGTTTAGCTGCTCAATTATTTGAGGAACCAAGGGGTGAAAGGTGACCTTGGGAGTTGCTTATTTTTGTGTCGATTTGTTGAAATACTGAGCCGGATTGTTTTCATCGTTTCGTGTAGTTTCACAGGCTTGCATAATCAAAGTATTCAGATACAGGTAAAGGGGGTGGAGGGGGATGAGTTATGATGGCTGATGGATTTACAAAGTCAAACGCCTTTACATCTATCCTGTTCAAGCAGACTGACTGGTCACAATCACCCAACTGTTGCTGGAAGATGGATGAGCCTGAGCAGAACGCTTTCATCTGGATTTTTAGTCATAAATCACATAAGAGTGCTACGTAGTGGCAGTGACAGGATTATCTGATGATACGTTTATGAATCGGTATGGAAATTTGACATATTTCACAAAGTCCGCTGATTAGTAATGGGCTTTTAATTTTTTTTATTGCTAAAACCAAAGAGATTAATATTAGTATTTTAGTTGATAAACTAATTGGCTTTAATTGAATCGCACCATCAGTCCTATAACTCTAGTCAAGATCAAATGCAACCAGTTGCTGATACTACTTGAATTTCTCCTCTCTCTTCTTTAGCTTCAAGGTTAGTTTAGCGGGATGATCGAAGCAAAGTGAAAAGAAAAACATGGTAGGACAAACAAAACAAATGCAGAATTAGAAAATTGTGATTTTAGAAGCAGCTCAGAGACTCGCTGTGATTCTGAAGGATCAACAGAATTATGCAGCTCAAGAAGGAGAATCTGTTAAACATGTCGGGGGGGAAAAATAAATAAAATTGCATTCAAAACACAATTTATGTTTGGGGAGAAAAGAGCAGACTCTGCACATTACCCTGAGTGTATGGTGGTGGCAGCATTATGCTGAGGGAGTAGTTTTCTTAAGCAGGAAAGGTACAGATAGGAAGATGGATGTAGATGAAAACGGGGTATTTCTGCGGAAAAAAACACTATTTGTTTTTCACTTCTTTATTATGCATTCCTTCGATTTTGGTCGGTCACAGTAAAGTTTCTCTCAGTAAGACTTTTTAATGAAAAAGGTTTTAGAAGCGTGAGAAGTTTTGTGTGTTCATGCTGTGCAAAGACGGCGTCATAACTGCTTTCTCCGCCGTCTCATCTCCAGCCCCATCCCCAGCTCATCTCCCTGATTCCCAGATAAGCCGAGACAAATGGCAGCGCCCTTCACAACCCGGGGGTTTGACTGCTCGTCTTGTCTGCATTCAGCAGACAGCGCCGAGGTCTTAGCCTAAAACGTTGCCTCGGGGGGGCCACTGAAACGCCGGCCGCCCCTCTGCTTTCCCTCAATGTTACTGCTAGCATATCATTGTGGGAAAAGACTGGCTGACCGGGTCATCTTCTGGGAAATAGAGATTTATAGTGCATCCTCTGTTCTGCCTGCTTCATCCCACAAATTGTGATTTTTTTTTTTCCTTTGGGCTCAGACAAGTTAATCATGGTATTAATTCCAGAATATATGAGGATCTGGCTTGTTATGATGTTCGTCTTACAGAATTTGAAGGATGCAGCTTTGATTGTGCCATCAAATGCTTGGTGTTCCCAAGTGACAGTCTAGTTGCTCTGTAGTGATGAAGAGACGCATGTTTTGCAGAGTTTTTTTTCCCAGCTTACAGAGGCTTTCCACTGAATCAAACCCCCCCACCCTGCTGGGACACTGAGGCGTCCCGTCTGTCCCGCATTCTGTCATTCACTCTGTTCCACTGAGGATCAATGTAGCTCTGCCGCTGTCAGCACACCCCAACACCCCTTAACCAGTTTACGGGACATGAAAGCTTACGTCCTGATCCGCTGTTTAAAAATCCACATCCACCGTCATATATATATATATATATATATATATATATATATATATATATATATGTCTACCCCACAGCCGCCTCCTCCTGCACTGTTTGCAGAAATCCGACAGGGAAGCAAGCCAATTAGCGCCATCCGTTCCGCTCTCATCCTATCGCTTAGTTGCAGAATGTTCGGGGTTGAAAGGTTGTCACTGTTGGGCCGTGCTGTTCAGAACTAGAGGCTTGATGTCAAATAGGAAAGCCCCGCTGTTCAATGATTTCTAATGGATCGCTACTGTTATTGTGCACTCATTCTCTGTCCCCTGAGCCCTCTGCCTTTTAGCACTAGCTTCATGATGAGCCACCTCTCTGTGGCTCCTTAATGTCTGGATCTTACTTTTCTGGCACCTTGCTCTTCAAGTATTTTCTGATGTCATGTATTTTCCTTTTAAAGCGACAAGGCAACATTAGAAGGATACAGGATTAAAATTCTTTGTTTGTTTTTCTCTTAGTTCTGCTGATCATTTCCACATTTTCTCACTCTTAAAATATCTTTATGGCTAGGGCTGCTTTAGAAAAAGAAATCACAGAAAACAAGCTATTTTGCCTAGCTTAAACACACAGTTGGGTAAGTCTGTGTACAAGATGAATGAGTGTTAGATGCTCTTAGAGTATTTTTTTCTGGCTAGCCAATCCCATATTGTTATGAATGGGTTTGTAACCCTTCCCAGACTGGAAGAAAGTCAAGTTTATTTTTTTAGTTTCCTCTTTAGTTTATGGTATGATTTGCTGCTTCTTTTTTGGCCTATTTTCATATGTCAGAGAGGTTCTAGTATAGAAGAAGAAATCTTTGAGAGGCAGACACCATGTTTTCTGCACTTTATGAACTATTTTCCTTTAAAAAACAGCGATACCGTTTGCAAAGCTTAACCTCCACTGACTATACCAGGCCAGGAAGGTGCCACAGATGATAAAAAATGAAAGGATTGCATGTAGACAAATCTTTGACTGAACCCTGGTTGTCACCTGTGTTAGTAGGCGTACCAAAATCCCCCCCGACATGTTTGTGCGAAAGTCTTAGCTGTGACTTTAAGCTGTAACAAGGGCAGAATCAGGGAGGCAATGTATAATCCAATGGTTGGTTAAGTCTCTGCAGGTGGATTTCTCTTCATCTGACATTTGAGGACTTCTATCTGTGCAGATATGGAGTAGCGGCTTTAACAGGATTTTAACTAATGTTTGTGTTGCGTAAAACATGCAGAAGCTTTTATATGTATATAAACTCTAATTCTCACAGGACAATTATATCTGTTGTGCAGCACTGTTTATCTGTTAGACAGTATATGCAAAACACTAAGCAAAAGACACAATCATGGCTTACTAATAAGGCATGCCTTAAAAACATATTCTCAGGGCTTCTAGCGGGGGCTTAACGAAGAAATTCTCTCTGCTTGGAAGAAGGTGGAATATGTCACATAACCCAGCAAATATCTCAAAAGGTTGACATTAACCCTATCTTTTAGGGTTTAGATGTTCATGCAGGGATCAACTAGCTTTAAACTTGTTAAACAAATATTTTTTCTGCAACATAAATTTTAATGAACACCTAAAATTAACTTTTTTTAGGCAGTTTAAAGGCATGCTTTGAATACCATGACTGCTACAGGAGGCCAGATGTCTCGGCAGAAAAAGATCAGTTCAAAGGTATAGAGGAGGATGTTCTTTTTCTGGGTGGATCATCTAAATAAGTGGTCCTCCTAATTGTCAATCATGCTGGTGATATGTTTACGTAAGGCCATCCTACGCCCTCGTCCCCATTTTTGGTGAGTCTGACATAGTGGAAAAATTGCAAATCTTCTTTTGGAAGGTAAACTTGTCTGAGCAGACAAACAGGAACTTTTAAACAGAGGGTGCATGAGGAGAAATGGGCTGCTGCATGCTCTCGCACACGTTAAATAGGCGTTCCCTCTCGGGAGCGGGTACAGGGTTGTATATGGAGCTGGGTATTGTTAGGTACCTCACGATTCAATTCGATTTCGATTATTGCTGTTGCGA